TCACCACTCAGCCAAGGCTATTCAAAATCATCATTTGAAGAGGGGGAAAAAAACACGCTGGTGATCTGATCTGTTTGTCAGATCGATCAGTAAGAAAATCTCCGAGACTCCCCGGGTCCTCATCAAGCATGGCTGCAAATCTCTCTGCGGTGTTCACTGGTGTGAATGCAAATAATCAAATCACATTTACAGCACGAGAAGAATAAACCCTCCTGACCTCGAACGTTTCACAAACAAGGAAGTACTCCTCATTAAAAGCAGACATTGTGTCTTGCAGGTTTATATTGACTAATGTTCAAATCGTCATCTTTTTAGGGACATTGGGCTTAATAAAAGCAAAATTTAGGATTTTTTTAGTTTTTCCAAAAACATGGCGATTTCCCTTTAGGCTCCATCCTGCCAGCAACTTCCACCAACAAGGGGTTTTTCTTATTTTTACATGTGAAAGAAAATCCTCAAATTCAGTCAGTAAGAACCCCATTATAAGGCCTAAGCTACCAGTCTAATTTTCTTAGGGCTAAGAGTCACTTTAGAAATGTTCAAAGTCTTTTTTACTCATCATCAGGCCAGAGTGAAATCCGAACAACTCAATCAAAACTTCACATTTTTTCTTTTCTCAAGTAAAAGCTGTAAATTTAGAGAGAGTGAGTGAATAATAACCTCACACAATCAAACTCTGATACTATTGAACCTGTTTAAAAAAATCTCTTTTTATAACTACCACTATAACTAAGTGGAGATACAAACAGTAATGTTAAATGTCTTTTATTTGTGGTGTTACTCGGCACCCTCTTCACTGAATGTACTTTTAAAAGAATTTTGTATTTTTATATATTTATTTTTTAAGAGGTTTTTAGGTAAATGGTGTTAAGTAAGTAAGCATTGATGTAAAACATGGATGTAGCCACTATTCATTAGTTGCAGGGCCAGATAATCACATTACAATTGTCCAAAATGCTCCAGTTGCCCAAATACAGTCCAGAGGTCCCGGTTAGGACTCCAGTTAGCTGAGGTGAAACCTAGCCTGTGTCAGCACACCGGACACTGCTCCAAGTGGACACTAGAGGAACTGCAGTTTTTGGAAGCACCGCATTCATTTGTCAGTCCCTGAGGTTGCTGCTTTGGAGATGTTTGTTTCTAGGATTATTTGAACCTAAATAACCTTAATTTCCATAACATAAGTAAGCAGTTTGTTTTCTAAACATAAACGGGGATTAAAAGTGATGCAAAAAGGGAAATAAAAAAAAAAACACTGACTGAACATGAACTGCATCCAAAAACCACGTTCTATCACGGGGAAGCCTGTTGTTTAATTCACCTCACACCATCACCAACCCCTGCAGAAGTTCTGTGTTTTTACCGCCCTACTGCTGTCCCAAGCATTGAACTTTTGAAAGCTCTCTCTTTGTTGTTTTTGGACTAAATGGCAATTGATGATTGTTTTTCCCTTTTTTTTTCTGTAGCATGCTATGTCTGTGAATACTCGAGCAAACATGAGCTGCAGCTGGAGATGCTAGTTACCATAGCTGATGCCAAATGTAACTGAAGCGACAATTCATTTTTAAACTGATAGCTAGGTTAATGTTATGTACAGGTCATGTGACCTTTAAAAAAATGTATAGAAGGGTGTGTCAGCTGATCAGTACAGCAACTTCTGACCCGCTTTTAGGTCGACAACCTGCAAAGGCCTTAGCTACTGTCAGTATAGTGACATACATTAAAGAATGTCACCGTTTTGGACACAGCTAACTATCCGTCTGTAGTAATTCACAAGCTCTTTGTTGCACTCCCACCGTGGCTTAGAAACTTGCAGTGCGCTTAGATGCTGGTATTGTGCGCCTTAAAAAGAAGATGAGGAAACTCTGGCTTAGTGTGACATGATGAAGTTATGGGCCTAAAGCTCCTCATTGTTATGTATCTGTGGTCCTGCAGTCCAGCACTGCAGAATATAGAGTGTGAAGGAGAATATATGAGATGCTGTTTTCTGTGTGTGCAGCTGAAGTAATACCTGAAAGTTGAGACAAAGGGGCAAAGCACCCTGGCTCTTTGTTGGCATCTTTCATCGGGGCCAAGCCCAAGTGATTTGGAAACAATTGCAATGTGAAATCTGTGTCTGCTGCAATTGCTTAAATGGCAGCTCAAGTATTTAAACATGCTCAGATGATTTACACTCATGCCTGTGTGCTGTGCTAAGGGGATTCCTGAGCAAAGTCATCTGCATTCAGTAAACAACGTGTTATTGATGAGTTGATTTCGTGTGGCTTTGCCAGTGAGCGAGCCGGGGAAAGGATTAAGTCCCCAAGCCAAAACCCAATACAAGTTTGAATAAGGGGATAGATGTGCAGCGCTCATTGTAGAAGGAGAGGATAAGCTGTGTTCAACATTAAAATAACAGCTCAATACGTGTGATATGAAAAGGTTCAGAAAGCTCAGACGTAAATGGGAAACGAGCCCGTTTACTGTCTCAGAATGATAAACCGTCCACCAAGAGTCCACGATCGGAAACACCGCTGCTCCAATACTGTGTTTGGAAGAAGTTTGACTTCGTTTTTCTGTTGATAACAGCTTGGCGAAGAACAGCAGCGGAAGATTTTTTTTCTTTTTGAAGATGTTTCATTTGCTGAAGGACTGAGTAAGAGAGGAAAGGTGTAACAACAACAGCAGGTGCTGTGAGGAATCCAAAACCATTCTAATCTAATTACAGCTTCTCTGACATGTTTCACTTGTCACGTCTTGCCATTGTCTTTCCATTTACTAGTTTGGTTTCAGTCATGGTTGTTGTTGGTGTTTCAGTAATGGTGCAGTGCATGCTTGGGGAGAATGTAACCCAGGTTACTGTTTGTAAAGATAACTCACAGATGTCCCCAAAATGCGTCATATGCAGGCAGTCAAAAAGATACTGTTTCGTAAAGGGGACGATGGCGGTTGTGCAGAACACGTAGGTGAGAAGATGTCATTTACTTTTTTTTTTTTTTTTTTTTTTTTGTGGTCTGTGGTGGAAAACCAAGCAGGCGACAGTGGTGATGTGGTGAGCTGCCTCAGGTACAGGTGAGACTGAAATAGAGTGCAGCAAGTCCAGTTGGAGTAACAGATCAACCAGATCAACTAAACATTAGGCATACTCCGATCCAATCCCATCAGTGCTGCTCGCATGATCAGGAATGCTATGACAATTTTTATTAATATATAGCACATTTCATTACATGTAAACTTTCATTACAAGCACTACCTGCACACTTGGATCTAATTCTGGGGAAAATTAATTCAACGTGAAATACTATCTTTTACCCTAAACTATTATATAAAAATCTAAGCTCAAATTTTATTGGTTTACTGAGCTGTTAACGTCATAGCATGAGTATTTCCTCCAGTTTTAATCTTTGAGGTACAGGCCCTCACAATACGAAAGGGTGGGTTGAAGTGTTGTATGATAATAAACTGCTGCAGTTTAGTGGCTGCGATGTAGAGTAACAGAAACAAGCTGGGGACAGGTTAAAGGAGCTTAAAGGTCTTCTTTTCACCTATATTTGGACGCCAGGTCCATCTCCTAGCTGTGATTCTATCTGTCAAAGTAAAATTTTAACACTTGTGACAAAACATTTTTTATGTTACAGCTTGAAAAAAAATCACATTTATCAAACAGCTTTAGGTCAGAAGGTTTTTTTAAAATCCTTAGAATTTGATCGTGAAGAAGGTCCTGCCTCACAGAGAGGGGTTGCACTTGCATGTATTTGTTTGGACATCAAACTGTGGGATGAACAAAGCTGACCCAGCAAGTTCTGCAAACTCACAGCAATATTTTAATAACCAACAGGGTGGAAATGACTGCAGAAACTCATGTGCTGTCAAGCAAAGGTTGGTCTTAAATTTGGATTATGAACAACTTGGGCCAACTCTGCACCAGCAGATCTTAATTAAATAAACAGTATTACAAAGCTGAAAAAATTCTCTTCTTTTAAAATTTCATTGTGCTGTCAGAAAAAAGAGGACTTTAAGCCTCATGATCAATACAGTGAGAAAACTGTATCCATCCCAGATCTCCACAGGTTTTAAATAACTCTGCATTCAGAAGTGATTTACAGCTCCAACACCACACACATGCAATTATGAAGACTCACAACGCTGACAGTTCGAGCCCCCAAATTGCAAGCTTGCCTCCCTTTTATCATATTTTATTTTATCACTTGACTCTTCCCCAACCAACCGGTTCCAGTCACACAGCCAGACAATTGAGTGTTTGCGAGTTCTGGATCATAATTACGTCTGTCCAACCTTAAAATGTGTCCTCCTGCAACTCATGCTTTTCTCATGAGACGATGATTCCAGTCTGTCTTCATAAATTAGATTTCTGAAAGTTTCGAGATAGTCTTTGTGATTTTTAAAATTCTCTTTGAGGAAGCCTGTCAACTTAATTATCACCTAGCCTCCTGCTGTGGACTCTCCTTGAAACACCCAGCTTTATGTGCACTGCACTCCTCTGGCCTTTGACCACACCCCCTCCTCCTCATCATATAACTTTAGCATATATTTAGAATTGGATACAGGAGACAGACTATCTCTACTTTTAAGATTAGGCTTAAAACTTTCCTTTTTGCTAAAGCATATAGTTAGGGCTGGACCAGGTGACCCTGAATCCTCCCTTAGTTATGCTGCAATAGATGTAGGCTGCCGGGGGATTCCCATGATGCATTGAGTTTTTCCCTTCCTGTCACCTTTCTCACTCACTATGTGTTAATAGACCTCTCTGCATTGAATCGTACCTGTTATTAATCTTTGTCTCTCTTCCACAGCATGTCTTTATCCTGTCTTTCTTCTGTCACCCCAATCGGCCGCAGCATATGGCTCCACCCCTCCCTGAGCCTGGCTCTGCCGGAGGTTTCTTCCTGTTAAAAGGGAGTTTTTCCTTCCCACTGTCGTCAAAGTGCTTGCTCATAGGGGGTCATATGATTGTTGGGTTTTTCTCTGTATCTACTGTACAATATAAAGCGCCTTGAGGCGGCTGTTGTTGTGATTTGGCACTGTGTAAATAAAATAAAATTGAATTGAATAGAAAACCGCTTCCACCTCACTGCACAAATATTTAAAACAGAGAAGTCAGCTTTTGTACTCCTCTGGTATCAGCCGACCAGCAGATCCTGCTCAGTCACTTCTTAACATCGAGTGCTCATTTCCAAAATGAAAAGCAGCAATTAACACATCAAGGATGACTTTAGTACCGCGCTCATTTTCCCCCCACCTCCTTCAGCCTTTGCAGGTAGAGACTGCATTAAAAAAGTGCCCCTGTTGTATGATAAGCATTTCCTCTGCTGTGATAAGAAGCCCTGGGATAGTGACTGTCAAATGAGGCCAATTAATGATGGCTTGATGTGATGTTTTATCTTTTCGAGGCAAGTCCGCAGCTCCTCGCTCACTGTTTTTACCTCCCAGATAAGCTCTACTTTGTTGACTTTGCCCCAGTCTGCCCCAAAACCAAAGGCACTTATTAGCTACCTATCCGAGAGTGACATGTGTGGCTACAGGCCAGCGTTGAATAACGGTCCTTCACTGTCACCTCTGTAGTTTCTGGATTAACAGCTTGATTTGATTTTAAGCCATCATATACACAACAGAGCTGGAGCATTTATTTAGGCAAGGACCAGTGTTCCCCCTTCGGCTACTGAGAAAGGCCGTTTGGATCGCTCGAGCGCTGTTTTTTTGCTAGGCAAAGAAGCTGTGTACTACAAAAGGATGTATTTCATGCTAATTTAAGGGTTCACCACGAAGATATCAGTTTAAGTAGACTGAAAATTCAATTGCTTTATGTTTAGATCAGATAGGAGCCATTTAAGATTTAAAGAGTCAAAAGCTTTGGGAGAGTTCCAGTGCTTCCTGCTGAAAGGTATTTACTATAGCACTGCATTTCTTTTTAAAGACAGATAAAAAGGCTAAAGCTAATGATGTCCTTGCTGAGAGTTTATTTTTCTGAAAGTCGCTGAGAACTTCTTCTTATTCATGACCGCATAAGGAGTTAAGAATGTGTAACTTTGGGGAAGCCATCCTCAAAGCTCACCTGTTTTCATGTTGGACTTCATTACTTATAGTGAGAAATTCATTGAGAAATAGATTTTCAAGGATTCTTAGATGTGGACAGAAAATAATTGTTGCCGGCGGGAAACCATAAAGGTCATAACTTTATGACTTGTGGAGCTTTTGCCTCCAGGGCATTTTGAAATGCATTCTAACATGTGCGTATTGTTGTGAAAGCATGACCTTTTTCTCAGTCTGTCAACTCTTTTGATTTTCTTAAACCTCACAATAACCGTGAGTAAAAACATGCATATTAAAAAAATGAAGGTAGGTTTCTCACAGGAGGCCTGTGTCCTATGTGACAGTCCTCTGTATGCAGTCGCCATACTTTCCTTTCTGTCATTCTAAAACCTTTCTTCCTCTTTTTAAGGATGGGTTTGTTGGAATAACGGTTCTGAAGTCAAATTAATTGGAAAAAATGAAAATATGAGAAAGACATTTCACGCTAATTTGTGCTAATTTGCAATTTGTGTGTGAAGTTTCTCTTTTTATAGGTAACTTTTTATTCCAGGATAAAAAACAAGCAAAACTAAACTAAGACCTGGTTGATAAATAGTCCTGCATTGAATTTTTTTTTTAATGTCTTAACCGGCCTCGTCCTTTGGTTAAGAGTTTTTAAAAGTTCAAATATTTAGCGAATAGATGACTTGCTCCCTCACCAGGTCTGCTCGATTTTGAGGTGCTAATTTGCTTGTTGGTGGAATATTGGTGACCAGTGAAATGAACTAGTGGCATCTTCACTTATAAATGATTGCATTGTTCCAAGTTCAGCCGCAGACCTTTCCACCCCATCGGTGAATTTTGCAAATGCGACTTCATGTCACTTTGCTCCACTGAGTAACTGTGAGTGCCTCAGACAATCCACAGTGCTGCTGCTATTCAGGTGAACTCTTTAACTCGATTTTCTCTCACTGATTAAGTCTGATCAAGCCTCCGATAACGCTGCTACACCTGTGTGAAAAAGCATTAAAGCTATTAGAGCTGTGGTATTCGTCCACACGTACAGTTTCTCAAGATCATCTGGTAGATCAGCTTCTGTTGTTTTCCATTGATTTGTGAAAGTATAAAATATATCTTCTTTGTTTATTGTTGATGCAAATATTATTTTTTAAGTCTGCCATCTTCCGCAGAGGTATGCGAGAGATGGTTAAGGTTGTGTTGTGATATATTTACAGCTGTCAGTCAGCAACCTCCTGAGACTGAGATAAGATAAACTCCTGAGACGTCGCATCTTACCACTTGCAGTATCAAGGAGCACATACACCAGTCATGCAAGCCATCCAATTCTATTTGATATATCCCAAGCCAATACAAGCTGTCAGTCAGCATTAAACTCAGATTCACATATTTACAGAAAAGTTGTGCTGCTGTCATTAGGGAGCAAAGGCCAACAACTCAAGTAAACTACTCAACAGCTGTTCAGAAAAAGTCACGCAGATCATGTTAGGAAGTTGTTACTTTAGCAAGCAGTCGATCAGTGGAATCAGTGGTTATTTATATGCCCACATCATGCAGAAGTATCATTTTTCTTTTATACTGTAATTCTGAAACTCAGCAATTGAATGATGCCACTCCTGAGTATAAAAGAAGTTTAGAGAGCCTATTCAAACATTACATTTTCTCAGTAAGTGTTTTGACCCTTTTAACTCTCTCTCTGCCTCTTGTTTGTGTATGAATAGTACATTTTGGGTTTTGTTTTTTTGTGGTTTTTAGCACAGATAAAAATTTCAAAGATATGGTGACACCAGAGAGAGTGCAGAGACATTGAAAAACCAATGTTCTATGAATCCTTGTAAAGAGAAACGCTGTTAAAAATCACTGTTTAAGGTCAGTTATGAGAAAAAGAAAACCCCTCAGTGGCAAGTGGATAAAGACCTTGGCCCTGGAAGCTCAAGGTACTTGAAGGATCCTATAGTGTGAACACAGCCAGTAACAAGGTTATGGAGCGTCATTACGAAACTTTTGTGGTTGTTTTGTGTCTTTTTTTTGGGTATCATTTGACGTGTCTTTGATGTTATTTTTGTGTTTTTGAGGTTGTTTTGTGCCCATTTTGTTTCTTTGCAGCACGTATTGGTCACATTTCTTATCTTTGTTGGGGTTTTGCTGTATTTTATCTCTCATTCTTTTGCATGTCTTTGTGGCCTTTTTGTGATTCTTGCTCACAGCTTTGTCTCTCTCTTTTGACATTTTCCCGTCATTTTCTTGAGATGCACCCACTCGCGTGCATAGACTGTGCATAACAATTGATATAACCACTGTTGAAACCGTACCATTTGATAACCAACATCGTTTTATGTTTTTGGAGTCAGAAGCTACTACATTTGCATGAGAGGGTGGAGTGTCAAATGATCAATTTGGGCTAGCAAACATGGTTAACAAGCTGTAGTCCCAAACTGTGCAGGTGCATCACACAAGACCTGCACCAGCTAATTAGTAAAAAGTAACAATAAACTTAGAAATTCACTCATAAACGAATATGACAAATAATTTGGCTTGACAGACTTATTAGAAGCCAAATTATTTTTCAGATAATTGTTTTAAAAATGCTCCACAAGGTATCATTAGCTCAGACACAGTCTAAACGGCTAGTTTGGGGATTCTAGTCAGTGGAGGTGAGGCTTGTCAGATGATCATCAGCTACAGCTCTATTTGTAAGGACACTTATCGGCCACATACCTAAATTTAAGAGACTAAAATGTAAAATTGGAATTTTTTTAAGGGAGTCTCTGGTGATTGCCTTGTTTTCTATAGCCAAAAAAGCCTTGAGTGCACTTGAGAGGAAGTGCAGGTTTTCACACTGGAAATGTCTGAGGTAAAGATGAAGCTGCAGATCACTGTTGATGTTAGCGCAGCTAGCTTAAAAACCGAAACTTTGATTTATCTGTAAGTGACAGTGGTGTGCTTTGAGTGCAGTGTTTATTTTCTATCGCTTAAGTGGTGTTTTTTGCATTTGCTTTTAAGGATTTTGCATCTATTTATGCATCTTTTGGCTTATTCTCAGAAATAAAGCGTTTGCGATTTGCACGTGTCTTTATGGTTTTTATGGCGTTTTGTTATTTGCATTGCTTGTGGTTTGTTGACATCTTGACCTCTGGGCTTTGTTTATTTATGCAGACACGATCACCACAAACAAATGTGAGTTAAAAAAAAATAAAATAAAATACAGGAAAGCTGTTGCTCAGATTGTAGGTTTACATTTAAAAAAAAAAAAAAAAAATCTGAGGATCGTAATCTACAAACACACTCTGTACTGTAACCAGGCTGCTGCTGTAAGGGTCTGAAGTCAGATCCATCCTGCTTGAATACATTTCAGATGATTTAAAAATGATTAACTGAAAACAGCAACGGGCCTTTTCATTTCTCAGCCACCCCCCCCCAACAGCACCTTTTTTCTTCTTCTTCGTTGCTCAGGGTGGTTGTGCAGGGTGTTTGATGGGGGATGGGGTTGCTTGTCTTTGTAGTAGTCACAGCTCCAAATCTCATTTGTAATGGTTATCAGCTGGTTGGGCTCTTCACAATAGCTAATGGGGAAAACAAATCGGTATTTGCCATGTTTATCATTTGATTAACCTTCATATTATCCCTCTGTGTAATTAGCCTAATTATGAGAGGCTTTACACTGACACTCTGATATCGCTTGTATAAACAGGTCTGAAATTTCTTGGCCGTGTTCAAATGGAGCGATACTTTTCTTTAAAAACTGAGTGTGTACCAGACATGTGTTGTAAGTTCCATCAAGTGATAAAATTATAAAATAATCTAAAATCCACTGACACGTCAAACTGCCTTGTGCAGAAGGGTCTTGTTGGTAGATGTCAAACAAAGAGAGCGCGCCTTGTGTAGAAGCAGACAAGGAACCGTTAATACCCGTTGCAGCAACCCGCCCAACAAGTTTGCTCTTGCATCTCTGGGGAAAACTTGCTGCCTGCTCGCTTTTGTCAAACCTGAGTCTGCCAGCTCTCGTCAGATCTGCGTCCGAGTGCAGACTGGATGAGTTGTGATCGGGACCCTCTTCTTCCCCGAGCTCTGAGCATACTTGCTTTGACACAACAAAAAGGTGATTTTGCCTGCTAGCCTCCTCAGTCCCCTTTGTCATGGCCAGTTTGTGTCAAGCGCTGGTGCAATGACTGACTTACAGCAGGTGTTGAAACAAGACAGATTGCAGCTCGTATTAGACGTGAAGTTACTTCACAGTAATGTATCAAGACCTCCGAAGACCTTTTCTTACCTTACAGTTAATTTAGGCCTTTTTGTGACTGTGAGGATACAACTTTAGTTTTAGTGTGATGGCTTCTCTTGTAAACTTTTCTTGACCAGACCCCAGAGGGCTGTGGGGCAAATCTGGACTTCTACCACAAGACATGTGGCCTTGACATCAAATATTTTAAGTGACAAAAAGTGTTTTTAAAACACAGCACTATGCTGTAAATATAAGACTAGAGGAAATAAAAGGAAAACTGCCATTTATTTAGAGTAAATAATTCCATTTAAATCTAATAAAATAATAAAATATAAGCAATTACCAGCTGAATAACCCATTTATAGTCTCACTTTAAACCCTCATTTACTCAACTGCCCATTTATTTTGTTCGTTTTTTAATCATCATAAGATCTCTTGAGACTTTTTGGCTTTTTGTTGGAAAAATGAGAAATTTGAAACACCTTCGTGACCAGAAAAGAAACAAAAATTGTTTTAGTCTGAAACCTTGGTTGGAAGGCACATACACACACATTGTTTCCTTGATCCGCATCAGAGTTGTTGAATTGATTTTCACCTCATAAAACATTTGCAAAGCCAATATTTCAAATACGTATTTTAGGTCAGGCGTTGCTTAGATTCGTTGTTTTCCCCTTTGATCTGCGTTGGAGCTTGGAAGTATTGTTCTCTACATTGTGCCTTGTTACACTGTTTGGACAGTACTGACAGCTGCAGGGAATCAAGTCCAGAGCAGACTAGTGAACTTGTAAGGCACAAACATGTTGGGGTATCCATTGTTAGGACGCAGCTGAAAGATTTTAAGGAAAAAACTGGACAATACGCAGATTGGTATTGACTTCTTGCCTTTTTTAAAGATGTAATGTACATAACCTTGATACATTTAAACAAAAATACCTAATAAAAAAGAAAATGTTTGACACCATCATCAGATTAAAGTACTGGTCTGTTCTTTTATCTCTTAGGGGCCTTACCAAGACCTCTCACTGTGCTGGGAATTAACAGAGATGTTCTACTCGACCTAATCCACGCCATACATGCTTCACAAGCATAAGTAAAATAAAGTGATGCCTGACATTTAAGTGCAGGGAATTGCTTGTCTTGTCTAGAAAAGTACATCCTTACTTTGAGTATTACATTTACACACAGTAAAGACCCAGACTTGTCAGCTGGATTATTTGTAGGTCATAGTGTGATATTGCCCGGAAGAAATTATAGGAAATTGCAGCAAAATACTCCATGCAACACAGATTGCAACAGAGTCCCTGTGTTAGATTACTACTTTTATTGTCGTTATACTATGTATAACAAAACTTCAGAGCGGGTACATCTGCAGGTGTAAAAAGAACAAGCATGCAGTTATTTATACAGTAAATCTAAAAAAGTGACTATGTATATATTTTAAAAAACTGCTAAATATATAAGGTATATGCATGATCTGGTGATGAGATAGGAGATGCGGTCGTGCTAGGGAGTAGCATGATGATGCAAGTATTTTGTCATTTCACAACAACTTAATTAAGGGTAAGCAGTAGTATTCTAATCTCTATGATATTACTTATCAATCAAGTAGCACTTGGCTGTGATATTGTAAAGTTATTAAAGTTATTTCAGGAGGAGGTTTAGGTGATGCAGCCCAGCCCAGGTGTTTGCATCGCCATGACTCCATGGCAAAAAGCCAACAAGAGTTTTGTTATCTTTTGTGGTATTTCATAAAATAGTCCCTGTGGGGACTAAAAGAGTGTTACTCAACTCTTTATTTCATCAAGGTAATTGTTAAAAAACTTTCATGATTGCTTTTTAAGCATAACTGCAATCACAAAGACATGAAATGCTAACGTTAAGCTGTAAATGAATTACACCACAGTTGTATGAGTTCAGTGTCTCCATCGCTAACCTCCTGTGTGAATGTTCCCTGTCAGCTTCGACACTTTTCTAACCACTTTTTTAGTAAACATCTACTTTGAGCCATGCAACAAACTAAAAGTAGTTCCCTGTTTGGTGATTGCAATGTCAGAATTCTAGCCAAATAGAGTATGTCAAATACATTCAAAAAAATCTATTGAACTTATCATTTCATAGTTTAAGACTCATTCCTGCAGCACAGTATTCTATAAGAAGAAATATTTGATTAATTTCCTGTATTTTTATTGACTGCTAATCAATTATGCTGATGTAAATAGAGCACGTTTGGTCTAAAACGAATGGAGAAATGACTAAATTGCCTACAGCGGTAATGAAAGATGATCTTGTCGTGGAGCTGAACTGTTTGCTGTGTCTGTGTTTCAGAACATGATGTTTGACTTACCCAGCCCTCTGATGCCCTGACACTGCTATTGCTCCTCTACTATTAAATTTTTAACACTAGAAAGAGGTCTAAAACAGCCTTTTGCTTTTATTAATATGCCAGCATGGCATGGTGTCAGACTTCTGGCACCTTCAAATATTTACCCTTGTGCACAAAACATTTCCGGTTCCGTAATGACCTCTTTGCTTTTCCCTGTTTCCAAACAGTGGAACGTATCGCGCGAGTGCTTGTTTGTGTAATGTCGCGTTAACCTGTTCAGCTATTCAACCAGCCCTCTAAAGCAGAGCAGGTCCAGTGCTGGAAAGACTCAGCAACAACCTCCTGCAGATGGGAACCTTTAATTTTTAAAGCATTTTCATTCGCATGGCTGATCCTCTGCACACTGCGTCACGAACCGTGAGTGCTAATCCCAGTCACCAACCACCTCTTTATTTAGTATGAAAAATCTTCCAGGCAAAGTGGATCTCCTTCTTCATCTCTGTAGTGTCTTTTTGAAGTAATGTTTTGATTGGTGCCCAGTGAACCAGATTTGTGTAGCTTGAACTGAACTCTACTCATGGGACAAAGACCGAGGTGGAAACCAGCGTAATTGCCCTTTAAATCTTAGTTCACCTTTTCTTATAAAGATATCCTCATCTGGATGCTCATGCAAATACATTATTTCAGTATTTGTTGTTGAGAAGCAGTTTGTTGTAGATTAATGCAAAAAATCAGAAAATGAACAGTTTTATGTTTTAAGAGTGTCAAACATCAAAATGCACAAAACCTCAGTGGTTGTGAAAACATTCTGTAACTATTTGGGGTAAAAGGGGTTAAATTTAAACCCTGCACCAATTTTGATTTTAATTAAAAGCCATTTTAAATCTTCATTCTTTCTAATGGCCTGCAGGGGGCGACTCCTCTGACTTTAAAAAGAATTGTGAATGTATAGAGGCAGAACCAGCCCAAGGTTTTATGAGTTCTTAAGCAGAAATTGATTTGGGGTTAGTATGTCGAAGGCATTTGACTGTGTCCTCGGGTGGTCCTGTGGGGGGTCCTCTGGGAGTATGCGGCCCATTGCTAACAGCCATTCAGTCCTTATACAACCGTTGCTGGAGTCGGACTCGTTCCTGGTGGGTGGTGGGCTCCACCAGGGCTGCCCTTTGTCACCAATTCTGTTCCTAATTTTTATGGACAGAATTTCTAGGTGCAGCCAAGTGGTGGAAGGCTTTCACTTATATTCACTTATTTTCGCGGATGCTGTGGTTCTGTTGGCTTCATCGGTGATTGCCTCCAGCTCTCCATGGACCAGTTTGCAGCCGAGTGTGAAGTGGTGGGAATGAGAATCAGCACCTACAAATCTGAGGCCATGGTCCTCAGCTGGAAAAGGGTGGAGTGCCCACTCCGGGTCAGAGACGAGTTCTTGCCCCAAGTGGAAGAGTATAAGTATCTCGGGGGCCGGCCCCTGCGATAAGCGGAAGAAGATGGATGGATGGATGGTTATTATGTCCATTTGTAACATTATATATGTTGCAAAGCCATTATCGTGGCTTTACTGCACTGCTGCCTTTGGTTTCATACGTCACCTCATTGCATAGACTTTGAGGTTTCTGTTTAACTAACATCTTTCTGTGTGCACAAAAATATACAAACAACTTGTCTTGTGTGACATTTTGCATGCTCCTGGGGTCCCCTGTTAGTGTGGGGCCTTAAGCAGCTGCTAAGTCTGCTTATGCCTCAGGCCGGCTCCCTATAGAAGTCTATGAGGGGGAAAAAACAGCTCTTGGTTTCCTTGATGTGACCTCCGTAAACACTTTCCTGTTAAGTTTTTGTTTTAAAATCTCCAGTGTCATGTCCTATTTTAAGAAAATAATGTCCATTTCTTAATAATAGTTTGGTCCCATTAGCATCAAAAACATAAAGTATGGCGTAGCTTGTTATTAACAAATCACCTTTGATAAATGCATGAGTTATAGTGTCCCATCACTTTCTCAGTCAGATCTCATCACATCTTATTTCAAAGACTCAGCTCAAACCCACATAACAAGACTTTGATAACCAATGTTTGAAGTGAAAGTGGGCACGTCTATCCATTATATACATTTTGTGGTCGTGCCTATTGCAGACTTTACTCTCATGGCTCCGGGTGTAGATTTCATCAAAATGACTTCAGACTGGTATGCGCTGATACCTGATGCCTTCCAAGTACAATCAGTTGATATTGAGCAGTAGTTAAAAAAAAAAGTAACAAGGTAACAGTGAAGTTTTTGAGTTTTTGTCCATCCATCCATTTTCTTCCACAGTCGCGACTGCATTATCAAATACCAATGCACTCAAATCTGCCAGGTTCAGTATTTATCTAAAAAGGATTAAATTACAGTAATCCCACCCACCACAGCGGATTTATGATCATCTTTTTTAGAGTCTTCCAGCTTCTTGTTTTGGTTTCCTGGGCCATGATGCTTTGCTTCACTCTCCTCAGTTTTTTTAGCTGTCGAAAACTGCGATGTAGAAGCTGCTAGAGCATTTTAAAAAACAGAAGCTTGTGAACAGTGTGTGTGTGTTTTCTTATCTTTTTTTTTTTTCCGATAGGTTTTCGACATGTGATTCAGCTCGCAGCCTCAAAAGAGTTTTTGCTAGAAAGCATGTCATCCTTTTTCCTCCCCCAAAAATCTCTGAACCTTGCCATATTATGTTAGAATTCAGCTCTCTCAGTGGTCCTCTTTGGATGGTTTTTTTTGATAGTTTCCTTGGTAGATATGAAAGATTAATGCAGCAGAAGCACCTGCAGCAGTTCCTCAATGACAGCTGTAAAAGTGCAGCGGAACAGCTGTGAGAAGACAGCCCGGCTGCCGTGCCCCCATAAAACAAACTGTTAAACACGGTGTCACCGCTTTGTGAGTCATCCTGTAACTGCCCCGGCTATCAGAATTGATTTTTCTTCCATGAGCTCCAATAGTGTTTTTGTGACTGCGAGTGCACCTTCAGTGCGATTCCTCACTGTTTTTGTTGTCTTTGTGTGTTCATTTATACATGTTTTCTTCCACTTTGTGTGTACATTCTTATTCCAGAACACAGAAAAGGAAGTACAGAAGGGCCTACTATAACAAATTATCTTCGTTATGGTAGAGAAAGACCTGAAGTAGGAATTGCAATTGGTCCACGTGTTTAGTCAGAAGATGTTTACAGCAAACCTTCATATACGTATGTCCTGTACTGCAGAAATTGTAATTGTGTGGTTTTCCTCTAGTTGCTTTTATTTCCTCCTACAGTCCTAAGACTGTGGTGTAGACTGTGGGTGTGATGGAAACTGCAATGGCGTGAATATGTTCATCTACCTGTTATCGACTGATGGTCTGTCCAAAATAAACCCCCTCACTTTCTCAAGCTGAAAGGGGAATTCCCCTGATCGTACAAAACAAAGTGCAGTTACAGGTGTGAAAGAGTTGCACGAGCACTTCTTGAGGGCGAAGAGGGAATTGCACAAAGTGCATCATCAGGGTGACGGCCATAACTTAAAAATAAAAGGTGGGAAGAAGCTTGAATGTCTAGCAAAATGGCCTGTGGTTAAGTTACACATCCTAGGTTTGAACAAAAATAAAAATAGCTGCCGTGTGGTTCTGCTGAACTGTTCGTGACCATTTATTGAAAAATATGCCCATCATGACAAAAAAAAACAAACGATAGTTTGACATTATTTTTTGTGACATATCTGCTGTTCCAACGGTTGGTGCTCATATTAAGCATAACCAGAGTATCACACATTTTCTTATATTGAGTAATCCCTGCCTTTCCTTTCTCTTCTTGGACCCCTATGATGCCACTGAGTGGGATTTACAGCTTACTAGAAGCCCCACCCACCTGTCATTTAAACTTTATTTGTGAGGGGCAGCCAATCGTAAGAAAGCTGGCTTAAATTATGTGGAGTTGGTCTTAAAGGAGGAGGAGCTAAACAAATCAGTGGAAAATGCTCCTGGAGAGAGGACCTGAAAGCAAAGTGCAGAGGAGAATAAACTGATCACAAAAAACAAGTGAAACAAGAGAGGGTGGGGCATCGTAAAGGAGGGAAATCAGACACGGGTATAAATAAAATACCCATCACACAGCAACCATCATTTCATCACTCTACCAGTGTCACCAGTGTCATCATGTAATCAGGACTACAGGGAATACTTCTGGATGTATTCAGGATGATCATATGTAATAACCATATTTTTGATACTGAATTTGATTATTACAACCCACACAGGTTAGAAGAGAATGACTTTATTGTCAATATGAGTGGACAAGTTGCCTTAGGTTCACCAAGTCACAGATCAGTTCATAATAAATATACAGTCATCCACATACCTTAATAAAGCTTCAGTAAAATTAAAGTAAAATACATCACGGCAACTACTAATTGCATTTGGCACAAATAATTCCTCATACACAGTATTAAGCTGTACAGCACTACACAAGAGGTGCAGCACAGTTAAGACATGATTGTGATCACACTGCGGTGAACACAGGGTCAGCAGCAGGGAACCGCACCCCTATCTAACACACTGATCTTCCACATTCGTGTCTTCTAACAGTTTAGGCAGACCTCTGGTTTAAGCGTCTTTAGTCTTGCGTGGCTCATAGCTGATAACTTTTACTCTGTACTGCGTCTGTAGAGATGAGGCGTTGGGAAAGACTGGCCTAAACACTTCCTGTCACTGAAAATCATAATCACTATGCACGCATGTCATAGTTGACGCACTTTAATTCTAATCAGATCAGTTGTTAGATGTGGAAACCTTTTCATCTCTCTGTATTTTTTGTATATTTTGTGTCTCGTTGTATGTCACCATTTCAAGCCTTCACATAACGGGCTCTGCTGGAGTTCCTTGCCACTTTTCGTGGTCCTTTTTCAGCACTGAGTGTTTATTAGACAGGTTTAAATGTAAGCTGCCACTGCAGTAGATGTGGCTTGTTTGCTTCCACCCTCAACCTCATCTGTGAAAAAGCCAGTCTTCTGTTATTTACACAAAGGAGAAGCTTTGGACTGCTGAAGTACATTTCTGAAATAAACTGCTCTCTAGAGTAGACCTTGAATGGATAAAATAATGGCACTTTAAGCCATATGAAGCGAGTGTGTGTTTTTCAAATAGTTTATTTGTTCGTGTTTTAAAGGAAGGGGGGAAAAAAATCATTTGACAGATGAAATGCTGAAATGTACGCATACGTGTGACACGCCCGCGTGCAGCCTTTTTGAGCTTAAAAAACCCCCGCCAGGGTGCCTCCGGGGTAAACTGCATCACAAGTCACTGAACCATATTGATCATAGTCAATTAATATGTAGCGCACAAAAGATTGCGAGAAGACCTGCTGAGGAAGACTGCTGCTATGAAACGGCGCACTCCCATCCAGACAGTCTCTAAAGCATCCAGGAAGTGGCTTCGCTTTGCAGCCCTGAAACCTTAAAATCGCACGCCGCTCCAGAGCACTGTTATTAAACTATTTTTAAAAAGAGGTCACATTTTTTAAACACAATCAGAGTTTTTTATTCGAGGGCAGTCCTGAATTATTATTTCAGTGCAGTCGTGATTTTCTGTTTAAAATGAAGGCCGCTGCAATTTATAAGCCTAGCTGATCGCACGCGTAATCTATGAATCACAGGAATGATTATATGCTGAAGTCATCAGTGAAGTGGCTTCTGTGTTGTGCGCTCGGAACGGCACAGAAGTCACTTGTTTTGCAGAAATTTTATTTAAAATAACAGATGTGAGTGGGTTTAATGTGCACTTTAGGGCCCAGTATCCATAAAGCGACGCCCCGCTGCGCATTATTTGCCATCGCCAAAGAATGCAACCACACACTGACACAGAAATTTTCCTTTCAGGATGTCACATATTGAGTCTTACTCACACATCCTAAGATCATTTCTTCTCTTTCCCTCCTTTTCCCTTTCAATTCATCTTTTATTTTGTTAGCCATTTGAGCATTGGGAAATGAAAGCATTTGCATTGAAAGGACAGGTGGGTGTGAGACACCAGCGAGCGTCTGAATTGTAGCATTAAGAGCATGAGAGAAGGGAGGGGGGGGAATCAAAAGTAAGAACCATTCAGACGGCAGGAGGAGCAGGGATTTGAGCAGATATTAAAAGATGATTGTGCGTGGGCTTTTACTGCTGTGCTCCGGAGAAAGAATGTAAACCCTGTATCAGTCAGAGTGAGGATAATAAACAGTAAAAACATCAGAACACAGCACAACAAACACAAACAAAAAGAAGGATGGGGAAAAGCGCGCCGTATAAATAGTTCAAATATTTCAAGTGATTTCAGAATGCGATGGTGAAATACTGGAGGTTTGTGTCCTCAGCTGCTGCAAGTTCCTCCACTCTGTGGTGGTCTTCCCTTCACTGGAACTGTGTTACCGACATGCATGTTAAACAAAAGCATCGGTTAGAGGTGAGACTTGGTGCCATTTTGGAACATTTTGATAAGTTCGACTCTCATGCACCCTCCCAAAAACAAAGACAACAGAAGCAACGTGAAATTAAGTAATAAGTAGTCAAGTGTTGTTTTTTTGTGTGTGCGTGCGTGACTGTGGATCATTGTTCTGTCATTCCCAAACACTCATCTGATCTCATTTTTGACAGCTACATCAACGCTAAAAAAAATCATTGATGGTTACATCAGGGTTACAGCATTTTTCAATACTTTTTCCTCTTCCAAAGTCTTTTTGTTTTTAAAGTACTTTGTTGTTTTCACCGCTCTTTGTCTCTCATATCACTCTTTAGATTTGTTGATCTCGTGCCGACATCGCAAGCAAGTGCGCAAGTAAAGAAAGCGAAGGCTCAGAGTCAGAGTTCAAAGTGATTTCCTTTCGACTTTAACGCTTGTTGTTGCTTTATTAAATCGGACACTTTGCTGCATGTCAGAACACGCTGTTTATTGCCTTGTTTTTCGTTTTACAGCGTAATTCTGCCAGACGCTTTCAAGCAGACTCCGTCGTCGGGGAGAAAAAAAGTAGACGTGAGCTGTGTACGCTTATAATTAGTGTAACTTGTGCTGCATGTGGATACAGTGGCCTCAGTCACCTCTTTTATAAAGCAGAAACAGTGACACATAGAAGGTGGTCGGGTCTCACTGAAACTGTCAAACTCACATTGAACTTGAGCAATTTAAAGAATGTGAGTAAAAGCACAGTTCGTACTGCTGTCATGTACAGCTGGGGGTAAATATTCAGATTTTTAGTCGTGCTTGCAGGGCTAGGGATGGATGTTTGGAGACAGAGACAAAAGCAAATGGTAAATGGATTTGGTTTTTATATGGTGCTTTCTACTCATGCCCATTCACACGCATTCATACAAGCACTTTTTTCATTGCTAACGTTCATACATGGTTAGTGCACCCATCCTGTTGCCAAATGTCAGCCAAAGGTGAAAGGGCAGTCTAAGGGCAGGGTTTCTGTTTCATGTTATAAGTAGGGATGTCCCTGGTGACACGTAAACGTCCACACGTAAACGCAGAAATGAAGGAAAACGCTGCTAGGAACATGCCAAAGCAACAGGTGGCGATATATTCCTAACCTGTAGAAATGTTGGCCAATCAGAAGTCTAGAAGCCTCGGTGGGAAATAGTAAACAAAGCTGGGGCATAGAAGCAGAACCAGTCTATGTAATACGTAAGCATTTATGTAAGCATTTAAACACTGCAGAGAGTACAATTAACAGTACCAGTATTGTAGAAATTCATTTCACCGAAACAATAACGTGGCGCACAGTGTGACGTCAAAAAAGGCGCACACCTTTGACGCTGCGTTTTCTGCGTTTTCTCCGTTTTTCTCGTCCACACCTAAATACAAAAACTGAGTTTTCGAAAATATCCACCCTGGCAGGCATTTTTAGAAATCTCCATTTTCAGTGACCGAAAACGCCGTTTACGTGTGGACGAAAGGTGCAAACGCATAGAAAAACCTGCGTTTTCAAAAATACCCGAGTACGTGTGGACGTAGCCTAATTTTCCAAAAATAACCAACTAAAAGTAGAACACTCCTGATCGCAATACATGAGTTTTAAATATTTAAGAGCATTTTGAAACTGTTATTGATGTTATCAAATTATATTTTAGTTGCTCCTGAAATGTGTGGTCGTTGCTTCATCTATAACACACGCAATGTTAGTTTGCCGACTGTGGCTGATATCAGCCGTGCTTACTTCATCCGATTAGGGTCCACATGTTGGTGGACCTTAAACCTAAGGTTGGGCTTTGCTCTATTAACATCACTAGTTTACTTGACAGTCCTTCACAGTAGTTTTCTACATCAGAATGCTTCAGAACTGACCGGGTTAGCATGTCTTACTTTGGACCTTACTTGTTTCCACATCACTCGGAGAGAGTGGCGCAACGTCTGTGGGCTCCTGTGTTACAATTAGTTTTACAAAACGAGTTCAAAAAGTGAAGAAATAATCATGTAAATGTAGTAATTTATTACTGCTTTACCAATTTAGCTGGTATCCATACACTTAGCATCATTATTTGTCATGTGAACAATATTAATGCTCCCGCTTGCCATTGCAGGCTGTAATTTGAGAAGTAAAATCTCCATTGTCTCTGTTTCCTCAGCGAGTATGCATGCAGAGAAACCTGCGCTTTGTCACAGTTAACATCACACCCCACCCGTTAAATTTGTTGTCCCACTTTTAATTTCTGCATCACTCTTGAGTTTGCAGCCCCTGACTTTTAATAACTCTGTGTCCCCTCCTTAGAACCATGTGGAACCCAGTGAGTGAGCAGACAGGACAGGTGACTGCCAGGATGGAGACCACTCCATCTTTGGGTAGTGCGAGCATCTCCGTCTCGCAGCAGCAGGCACCTAAGAAGTTTGCACCTGTGGTCGCCCCCAAGCCCAAGTTCAACCCTTACAAACAGGTGGGAGAGGCCACACTCTCCGAGCCGGCAGGTAAGCACACAGTCTTCAAATTGCTTCAACTAAGAAAATATCATTATCTTACAAAATAATTAAAATGTCCCACTTTGCAGTGTTTATTAGTAATATGATATTTTTGTTGTTAAACTCTGCACTCTCCATGTTTAGTACTCGCCCATATTTCATCTTCTGCAGTTAGCAGTAAACCCGTCCTACCCTTACAGTGGTTACAAGTGCAACAGAGTACATTTTAAATTTTACTGTTGAGTGTCTTGGGCATTTCTTTATTCAGCATTATATTTAACAGTTACTGAGACAGAAATCTAAGTGTTAAACTGAACTGCTTGTTCAGTGAATATTCCCATGTGTACTTGATATTGATTTCCATACAGTACAATTCATAAAACATACATGCGATATAATTTCATCCCTAAAAAGCTCTGACACGAAAACATATATGACGTGATGCTAAACGGCATTTTCTTTTTTATCTTTTTCTTGTTCACTAATCACTAATATAATAAAGTTTACTGAAGTATGGAGCTTACAATACTCTGGCTATGATGTGTTAAGACTGAATGGAAAGTTCAATTCAATTCAGTTTTATTTATATAGCGCCAAATCACAACAACAGTTGCCTCAAGGTGCTTTTTATTGCATCTTAAAGACCCTACAATAATACAAAGAAAACAGAGAAAACCCCAACAATCATATGACCCCCTATGAGCAAGCACTTTGGTGAGAGTAGGAAGGGAAAACTCCCTTTTAATAGGAAGAGACCTCCAGCAGAACCTGAGAGGGCTCAGGGAGGGTGGGGGGCAATCTGCCACGACCAGTTGGGGTTAGGGGAGGAAGACAAAGACAAAGACACGCTGTGGAAGAAAGCCAGAGATTAATAATAGGTAATGATTACATGCAAAGAGGTCTATTAACACATAGTGAGTGAAAAAGGTGATGGAAGAAGAAACACTCAATGCATCATGGGAATTCCCCAGCAGCCTAGACCTATTGCAGCATAACTAAGGGAGGATTCGGGGTCCTAACTATATCCTTTATTAAAAAGAATGGTTTTAAGCCTAATCTCAAAAATAAAGAGGATGTCTGTCTCGTGAATCCAAACTGGAAGCTGGATCCACAGGAGAGGTGCCTTGAAGCTGAAAGCTCTGCCTCCCATTCTGCACTTAAATACTCTAGGAACCACAAGTAAGCTAGAGTAAGCCCACAAGTAAGCTTACAGTTTCAGGGTGAAGTGCTCTAATGGGGAGATACGGTACTATACGATTGTTAAAACAAGATGGTGCCTATTCAAGACCTAGAAGTAATACACGCATGAACTAGTTTGTCAGCATCACACTGAGACAGGATTTTTCTAATTTTTGAAATATTGCACAAATGAAAGAAAGCAGTTCTACATATACTAAACTACACGTATAACTCCAGGTTTTCTCACAGTATTACTAGAGGCCAAGGTAATGCAATCCAGAATAAGAATCTGGTTAGATACCATGTTTCTAAGAATAAAATCTAATAGATAAAGTTGGGTGTCATCTGCAGCATCTGCGGCACTAAGATCTAGTAAGGCAGATACGTTTTCATTTATTATGTAAGTGCTAAATTACACACGAGTTTGTTCACAGGTGTGTAAAATACCAAACACTTCTTTAGCCATTGTCAAGATGAAAGCCAACGTGATCTACAGTCACTGCAGCACAGTAGATGAGAGTGCGGCTGTGAAAAAACGTTTGCACATTATTTGGGTGACCTGTAAAGGATGCAGCTTAGCCCGAGGAAGTAAACTGTGAAGAGTGACACAGAAAAGCAAAAAGTTTCCATAAGGCATCTGCTCACATCAGAAAAACATATTTTTAAAAGATGGCAGCTTCACCTCGTTTCATCTGCGCCGGCTTTACCTGTAAAACTGGAAAGTTGGACATGTTTGACTTTATAACTGCTGCACTTTTATACTGGTCCAGTTTAGGTTAAGAAATTATACCTGATTGTTAAATCATTCATTAACTGGAGGCCAAGCTTATGCAATCCAGAGTGAGAATCTGGTTAGACACCATTTTTCTAAGATTCGTAGAGCCGAGTACAATAATCTCAGTTTTATCTGAAGCAGAAAATTGGTGTCACGGGTTGCCGGGCAAGCCGTCTGGTGTGGACCCAAAATGCAGGCACTGGCTTGATGCGAGTGAGCGTTTTATTTACAACCAGCGATATACAAACAAAAGCGAGAGTGGTAAGAACAGCACTAAGAAATGACCTGAACTGGGGGAAAATTAAAGAACAAATCTGGAACACGCCACATACAGGAAGCAACGTGGGATGAGGGCAGAGAGACGCAGAGAAACGCCAACTAACGCATACAAGCCGACAAAGAGCACAGACCGACACCCACTATATATACACACACACGCAATGACACACAGGAGGGAAGCACAGCTGATCCTAATGGACGTGATGACAGGAAGACGCAAGGTGAACACAGTGTGAACAGACATAGACCATCAAAGTAAAACAGGAAGTACACTGTTTTATAAACACACACTGAAAGACACGAACACAACACCGGGATACAACAAGACACAAGAACCATATATTTTATTTATTGTTTACTCTATTTAATTTGTAAAATATGTGTATACACACACACACACACACACACACACACACACACACACACGTAGAAAAATATTTAGTATACACATCCAGAAATGCATATACTATTATATATTGTACATATATTTATTAGTTTCAGATGTAGCCATTCTTGTATTTTGCTTGTTTACATTATTGTATTTTGCACAACTCTGTTGCTTGTGAAGCTCGCACACAAGAATTTCACTCACATGTGCTGTACCAATGTACCTGCACATGTGATGTGACAATAAAAGTGATTTGATTTGATTTGAAAACCCTAAGGACTGATACAAAATCAGAAGAAGCTAGAAAATAATAACAATAAAGTCAAAACGCTGGGTCAGCGACCCAGGACCATGACATTTAGAGGTCATCCAGATCTTGATATCTTTAAGACATTCGTGCAGTTTAACTAATTGGTGCGTGTTATCTGGCTTCATGAACAGATAAAGTTGGGTGTCTTCTGCATAGCAGTGAAAATGTATGCTATGGCTTCTGATGATACTGCCTAAGGGAGGTGTGTATAATGGAAACAGAATGGGTCCTAGCACTGAACCCTGTGGAACTCCATAATTAACCTTAGTGTGTGAAGACAATTCTCCATTTACATAAATAAATTGGAGCCTATTAGATGGTTATGATTCAAACAGCTGCAGCATAGTACCTGTAATAGCTACAGCAGGCTCTAATCGCTGTAAAGTATTATGGGCAACAGTATTAAACACTGCACTGAGGTCGAGCAGGGCAAGTACAGAGATGAATCTGCTGTCAGAGGCCAGAAGAAGATAATTTGTAACCTTTACATTTATAACCATTTCTGTACTGTGGTGAGTTCTGAAACCCGACTTTAAATAAATCATAACTCTGCAGATGATCTGTTAGCTGTTACAGCTACTCTTTCGACATTGGCCTATAATTAGCTAAGGCAGCTGGATCAGCTAACGGTTTAACTACTGCCAGCTTGAACCTCAGTGGTACATAACCAATGCTACAGCTGCTTGTTCAACAAATATTCCCAGGTGCACTTAAAATTGATTTCCACACAGTATAATTCATACAATGTACATACAACATGATTTTCATCCCTAAAAACCTCCTTGATGAAAGACGATGATAAAGAGCCTTTTGTTTTTATTTATTTATTTGTTAGTTGGAGATCGGTTGATCATATTTAGGATTGAAACATTAATTAATCGCAGGACTTTTGTAGGACTGGGGTATAAAAGACACGTTGATGATCAATTGGAGAAAAAGAGTCTAAATAAGTAGTAAATACTAGTTAACTAGTTAATATTAAAGATAATATTAATATTAAAGAAATGATTGCAAACTGAATTTAGATCAATATTAAATAGATTATGTTTATATTTTTAACCATTCAAACTGCTTTTATGCATTTTTACTTGCACATTCATACAGGATCTTATTTTAAGAACTTTATATTTGACACCCAATCAGGATGAGTTATAGATTGATGCAGGAGCAGTGGATCGAGCTGCTGACCTTCTGATTACCAAAATAGCCTTGGTAAGGCTTACACTCAGGGCTTCATCAGGTGTCCCTGAACCATCCCTTAAATATGCTACTATGGGCCCGGGAACTTCCCATGATGCACTTCAGTTCCTCTCGGCTCCCTTCTTTTCATTCCCTGTGTGTTTATATGCCAGGACTCCTCTCCCGTGTAGTTTTCTATGAGCTGGTGTTATGTAAATAAAAAATTAATTGAACAGACGACCCGCTCTGGCTCCTGAGCCACAGCTGTGCACAGCTGCTGTGTTTGGCTCACAGTGTGACTAAACACCTAAAATTAGCCTCATGAAAGCGTCTCTAGAAACTTTTACAGAGGTCTTTCACATAATCAACCATCAAAGTTGTTCTGACCTTCTTGTTGCTCTTAGATTTGGAGAATTTCTAGGTAATGTTTGGGTTATTATATCATCCTGTTCTGTAGTACTCTGTGAAATGGGCGGTTTGATTTGCTTTATTTTTGAGTTTCCCTTAAAAACTGGATAATTCACCAGTTATTGCCTGTTTACAATATTGAATTTCTGGTTATTAATTGTGGCAGAGGTGTTATTGCATGTCTAATTTACAAGCAGTGTTGGCAGTGTGGTTTGCAGTCAAGTGTGAGCGCAGGAAGCCTTGTGTTGTCTGCTTTTTTTAGGTCCCCTGGGAGCTGATGGCTTGTTTTTGTGGGAAAAAAAAAAAGACTCTAGTGCTGCAACTTCATATGCAATACGTGTTGAAATGTAAGGTTATAATTAAGATTGTTATTAAGAATGTCATGTTATATAAAGATGATTTAAAATAAAGCTAAAATATGTGGATTCCACTTTGACGTGGAGTTGCTTATAATACTCAATTTTCTTTTTTCTAAATTCATATTCTTCAGTAGAAAAAGGACGCAAATGGAATTAAATCTGTACAGTGTGCTGTATGTTTTTACCTTTATAAAGTCATACTTTCCATTAGCACACGTTTTCTACAGCACGATAATAGGAAGACGTATGCAAATTGTTTAAAAAATCTTTTTGTTTAAATAAGAGAGCAGACGAGAACACAGGAAGCGGTTTTTTTTGTTTTACTGCCAAGAAATAACACTGAAACCTGAAACATTATGACCTACTCAGAGCTACTTATAGACTTTTTAAAGGAATTGATGCTTTTATTTTGCATATGCTCCTATTGTAAAGACGGAGCTGCAAACACAAACAATAATATTCTCTGTCCTCACTTTCCCTTCCAGTTATGTGTTGTAACGTGAAAATTATCTAAACCTCTGCCCTCAAACCCCCCCGAGAGCCCTAGATTTCCAAAACAGGGGAAACGGTTATGAAATTCACCAGGACGAGAGCACACTGTCAGGCTGAAAACACTGCTGTCTGTAGGGGTTTGTGGTTTGACTTACAGACCGTCTTGTACTCCAGATGTTGGTGGTGTAAAAATTGTTCTTAGATGGCTTCTTTTTGAGCTCTGCCCACCATTTGAGAAAAATAAATAAAACAACAATTGAAGCTTTAAATCACCTTTTAAGCTTTCAAAATCAAAACTCTTTATATGCTTCACACAAGGTGACACGAAGCCCTTTTCGTAGAAAAATATTAAGGTAAGAGGAAAAAAAACTGAAGGTGTCATGAAAAGACACATTGAGTACATTCCCTGTACTAATATACAGTTTCACCTTTTATTTTGTCCCTATAATTGTGTTATAAACAAAGAACAGAGAGAGCTTGTTTACTTGATCATCAAGTTTTTTGAAGTCTGAGAACAATTCTTGTTATTCTTATGAATTCTTATTGTGATAATGGGCAATTCTATAACATTGTTGTAATGTACTTGCACTTAAAATTTATATCTGTGTCCTTGACTTGACATCTTTAACCGCAGAAGCTGCATTTATTGTTGTTATTTCCCCACTGTATGAGATAGAGTATTGAATGGAAAAGACCCCAGGATGGAGCCTTGAGGAACACCACACTGCTCTTTTGCACACGCAACACCAAGCTTCATCACTTCATTTCACACATCAGTGATTCTGTTGCACAAAGCAGACCTTGTTCATCTTTAAACTTTGAAAGCCAACATGACCTACAAAGCTGAAAAAAATGTTTGCACACCATTTGGGTGGCCTGTAAAAGATGTAGATTAGTAGAAGTAAACTGAAGAGTGACACAGAAAAGCGAAAAGTTTCCATAAGATATCTGCTCGCATCGGGAAAAACATATTTTTAAAAGATGGCAGCTTCACCTCGTTTCATCTGCGCCGGCTTTACCTGTAAAACTGGAAAGTTGGACATGTTTGACTTTATAACTGCTGTACTTTTATACTAGTCCAGTTTAGGTTAAGACATTATACCTGATCGTTAAATCATTCATTAACTAGAGGCAAGGGTCAACTTTACTGCTGTTGGGTTAGACGTCACCCATCTTCAAACTCCTGCCCTCAGTTTGATTTCAACTATTACACAAGCTTCATCACTTCATTTCACACATTAGTGACTCTGTTGCACTGACAGCATCTTTCCACAGACATATAAACGCCCGCCAAAGTAATCAAACCATTGCTGGTACATTATATTTTCCCATGAACGCATTTTGCCATGATGACAGAGACAGACTCACATGGTGAAAATAGCAGTTGTGACAGATTTGGTGAGGTTAAGCTGATATTTTGTGACATTAAATTTGGTGATATGTTAATTTTTTTCTGTGCAGGCAGACTGCTGCTGGTAAGTCACAGATATAGAAATTTGATAAGATTAAATATAAAGAAAGAAGACTCATGTTGAGGTTAGGTGAAGTGTAACTGAGAAAGACTGGGTCTGAGACATCATCTAGGTTTGCTGTGCGTTGCTTTTAGAGCTGGTTGTGCAGCTCTTTGGCTTTGCAATCATCAAATCCACTTTCTCAGATCCCAGAGAGTTATAACTGGACAAAGTTTTGTCGTCCTTGCTGGCATCTTTTCGTTGTCGTCATTATCAGCAGAGTTGGTTGTGCAGTGTGTTTGGTTGGGGTGAAGGAAGATGATGTGGAAATGTGTGAATCCCAAGTAGAGTGAGTCTGGGAAGAGGAACTGGAAGCGTGACCTGTGAGCAGGTTGTTAACCATCGTGCTGAGTGTCAGGTGCTTTCTCTTATGTCTGACCAGTGGCTCTTCACACTTTTTAATATTCTTTTTAATGTTAAAGCCCATCAGTAGTCATTCCCACCTGTCTTATTGATTTAAAACTGTATTTTAGTTACTGCATTAGAATTACCTGAGCAGGGATGTTCCAAAGCTTCTTTAGCCTTCTACCAGGAGGTCCAGGATTGATGTTGGTAGGGCTGAATCCATAAATTTTGCCCATTTTGCTCATCCAGATTAATCCAGCCAGATTATCCCAGTAATTACCATGGATGATTCATGCTTTTAAATCTGTACATTTTGGGAGAGTTCTGATAAACTTACTCATTTGTAAGAGTCACTGGCAGCACCAAGGTCTGGCTCTTTTTCTGAGTAGGAAGTAGGAAACTTGCTACCAAGTTTAGGATGGTTTGTGTGCTCTTTGTCCTTTTAATCCTCCTAGTGTTACATTTGCCATAAAAAAGGTCCTTAAATGTGTGGTGGTTTGAGACAACGAGCGTGAAATTATTATTTTCAAAGTTTTAAATGCCCAAGAAAACATTAGATCTTTTAGATTAATACGATGCTGCTATAATGACATTAGTGGGATCTATAGGTGAGCTTTAATACAATAGGCCTGCCTTTAATGCTTGCTTGTTTATGTTGCGTTATTTAGGAGAAAATATGTCAGGAGATCAGCAGTGTGCATACAGAGTGCAGCAGAAGAAATGTGTGTTGTTGTAACTTAAGACTTTTACGGAACATTTCCAATTATAAATTGTATGGAAAAAGACTTTGAATTGGCACAAATCTTAAGAATTCTCTTTTTAAATTATGTATATCACTGGTTTATCATTCAAGCCCTTACTTATTGTTGTGATCGCCTTTCCAGTGTCCACATTCCAGCGCTACATCACATAGAATAAATGAGGCTCAGTTTTGAGTATTGATTTTTACCCCAGCCCACAGCACTGCTCCTTCTGTAAATTAGCAAAAAAAAAAAAAAGTTTTTCATGGCCAGTTTATGATTTGCGGCTCCATTAAACCCTTGAGATTTTAAAATGTCACTTCACCAACATTTAATCCACACCCATAGCCACTGTCTTATTTTCTGCGTTATGCATTGTCCGGGTATTAAGAGGATTAATGAAACAATATGAAGAGGCTGGGAATACATCTGTACATTATATAATAATTGCAGTGTTGTACTTTGTAATGTAAATGTTTTACTCTGCTGAGCTGAATGAGGTCAAAGTGACCCATGGAAACCTGACCTTTCAATGTCACTTTTTACTGCATTTACATAAACTGGGAAAACTGTCAAATAGCCTCTTCTTCTGCAGATGTTTCCAGCTGCTCTGGGTTTAGTTTTATGTGACACTGTTGATTAAACATCTATAGGTTGCAGCATCTTGCAGATTTTGCAGAGTACTGAGCTTTCATGGGCTGCTTAAGCATTCCCCTTTCCATTAAAACATTTAGAAATGACACTCGATTGGTTGTTGTCAGCGTTTTGATCATGCAAATATGTAAAGCCATCTGCAGACATCTCCACTTGTCAGCGGATAAGACGTCTTTATGAACAGATTATCTGGGTGTCTCCTCATTTATCTGTTTAATATCTGTTATATCAAACGTGGGGACTGCCTGATGTAAAATTGAGGATTAGCATAAAAAATTAGGGACAAGTCAATTTTGCACAGCACCCTGCTGTCCCTTTTGTCTAGCAGGGGCCAGCATTGGGGCTGGAATGAGCACTCTGAGGCCATGTTTACTGTGTGCAGACGGGGTGGCAGACAGTTAGCCAAACCTGCATTTGGATTTTATTTATTTAATTATTTTTTATTTGAGGATCACTTGTTCTGATTAAAGCCCCAGAAAATAGGAAGTGAAAGACATATATGTCTCAGACAGAGACTCAAAGTTCCTTCCAATAAAAGATTTTGGGGTTTAAGTTGATCTCATATGGTACATGCACTGTAGGAAGGTTTGATTGTTTTTTCGTAGAGCCACTATTGCTCCAGTTTTTTGTTTTTTTTTAATGCCGGCTTTTACGCCGGAGCTTAGCTTTAAAGATTTATTTTTGCAAATTTTTTTAAAGGTTGTGTGATTTTTAAAATCACGATGCAACATCCTGTGGGAGAGGTGGACAAAATATGATGAATAACTGTACAAGGTAACGCAATCCACTGCAACAGCTCTGCAACGAAAACTACTCCTCTGAAGCATATTAGGCCCAGCTTTGCTAAAACGGTATTGACAGCAGTGTGTCATTTAATGGGTGCCGTCAAGCTCTGAAAATAGTTTAAAAAGCCCTTGTGTTATTGATGTAGGACACTGCGGCCTTTCCTTAAAACCCAGAGGAATAAATCATTATATTTTATGAGAAGCGGCCTGTTTTAGAGCTAATGTTCTTCTTTGACATGTTTTGCTTTCATAGTCATAGAGCGAGGTATGCTGGTTAAAATGTTTAGCACTCGTGCAGCTGTGCGAACAGATCAAAACATGCTGATGACGAGTCAGTGTCCGCTCAGCGCTCCCTGGGACTTCTCTGTTTCGCTGTAACCTACGCGCGAGAACGGGATGGTAAACGTGATGTTGAGGACAGAGACCGTCCTCGCGACACAGACCGGAGATTTGCTTTCTGCTGACTCTCTTCAGATTTCACACCAGGGGTGTCTTTTGAATTTTGTCTTGTGCCTTTTTTCTTCACATTCCAACTCTGACACTATTTTGAGAGGCGTTTCAGTCGTTAGAGGGGCCTTGTCGTTGATTCACTGCTTCGTGCAAACAGCTGCTCTGAAGTTCTTTTTAGAATGATCTTACTCAAACGTTCAGATGGGGGTTTTTTTTCCCCCTCCATGAAATGAATGTAAACATGTATATGGTGTGAACAAAAACTGTCAGACACAGCATGGGAAACTGAATCACTCTGGAGTGAGTCATCATTTGCATTTCCATTCAGAATATTTCAAATATTTAATGCTTTATAGTCTGATTGATGTGAAGCGATAGCCCCAAAACCACAACCTTTGATACTGAAGTTATTTTGCGTCAGTAACTCACTGTTATGTCTCATAATGTCTTTCTTCTTGTTATCAAGATAAAACTTTTTGTGCAGTGGGCTAATCATAGTGAAAGTTAAACATCTGAGAAGTGCTGTTATTCTGCTGTTTAAAACAAAGAACTTTTTCACGTTAAGTTACCAGAAACCTGCTAATTGTTTGCTCAGAGCAGTTCCAAAGTGTCGAACATGTGCATAAGCTGTTTTTATTCCTCCCTGCTTGACTGGCCAGAGGCAAACTGACTACCGGTTGTTATGTCAGAGTCCCTCATGGGTGTCACCAGGAGAATTTACAGGAAATCCACCACTGAGTGTGTCAGTGTCCCCGTAGATACCACAGGCTCCAGCTCACAGCGCGTAACAAGGCTACTTTTATCTTAACTGGAACACATGCTCTACTTCAGCTACTTGTTGTGTGTTTTCTGCCGTGTGTGCAAAGTCTTAACCGAGGAGAATCTTTCTGCTTGGAAGTTTCGCGCAATGTTGTTTCCTCCGTGCTAACGATATTTATTTCAGTGTGTATTTCATCGGGCTATAACAGCCACAGATTTTTAGCGTAATCTTACAAGTATGAGACATTTCACTTCTCTAAATCTCACGGCTCGTCCTCAGAGTTTGTAGTATTGCTAAAACGGTTTTCTACATATCCTGTCTATTCTTTCTTGGTTGTGTCTACATAGTGTAAGGAAGTTTGACTGCTGAGTAAGATTTCGAAAACTGAACTTGCACATGGGAAATCTTGGCCTTCTAGTCATTCATAGTTTAGCTTTGGATTTTATCAAATAACAGCAATAATAAACTTCATCATCCTTAAAATGATTACATTTCCTTTGTACATGATGTCAAAAATTCAATCCAAAAATGAGAAATTTACATTTTTAATTTACATTTTTTTCTGGGCTAATGCTAAATGCAGCAGTGCTTTTATTTGTTCAGTCGGACATTCTCATAGCCCAGCATAATGTATGGTAAATGGACTGGTTCTTACATAGTGTTTTTCTACTCTGCTTGAACCCTCAAAGTGCTTTATACTACAGGCCTCATTAACCCTTTCACACACACTCATTCTCTCTATGCCGAAGAGCTTTCTATCGAACATTCACACTCACGATGAATGCATCGCAAGCAACTTGGGGTTCGGTATCTTGCCCGAGGATACTCCTAAGCTACAGCCACCTCTGAGCTTAAACCAGTTGGTATTTCGGCCCATCCGAGTACTAACCAGACCTGACCTCTCATCGAGGTGCTTTGAAAGACGATGATATTGATGCCAAGTTGCCATAAGCATTTAGGCGTTTCGGCACTCATCATTAACGATCCCAAATATCTGCACTACCTGTGATCAGTCAGCTTATAGATTGGCCCAGGTGATTTGTTTCATCCCGCCTGTGTCCGGTTTGGGTGGCACCAGAAACAGCCAAACATGACAAGTTTCAGGTTTTAGGATCCTACGATATTCTTATTGCAGATGAGAGATGTGTTCTCCTCTAAGCTTACGAGACATTGAGAGCAGAAGGCCTCTAGATCAGTTGGCCACTTTTGGACCCAATGGTCGTTCTACGAAGAAAAACAATTTTCAGTTTGTTCGACTCCTATTCTTTTGGTCATACGCCCAAACTGTAGATTCATTGGCAGCCTTCTGGCACAGCTCTCTCTTTTCCTGTAGCTCTAACCCTGTGGTGACCCCAAATCCACTGTGTCTGCAAATCATTTGCCAAACATGGTGAGCTTTTGCTTTTAGATGCTGTCGTGTCTTTAGTTTTTGGAGCCAGAGCAGCTTTGTGAAACATTGACCGTCATCTATGTTGGAATCCAACAGCCTGCTGGGACTGGCAAAAATAAATACTGATACCAGAGTCGGTGCTCATTTTTAGTGATGAATGAAGCATTTCTCTGTGAAATGACTAAGCAGACCAAAGATAAAAAGGAGAAAAAAATAGCAACTAATCTATTTTCTATTTTCATGGCATTTTCTTTTTTCTCACACACGGTGTAGACTTCTTAATCAACTGTAATGGAAGGGTAGCTGTCTGCATATTATTACACGTTCAGTGTAGCTGCACAGTAATAGAGTTGTATGCATAACATAATTGCTACTAATATAATACTTCTTAGATATATTCCTAATGCTCGAGAACAAACGTTTTATTCTCCAAGCTCGTTGGTGATTCATTATGTGCCGCTTTTTGTATGAGTACTCCGTCGATGATATGATTTGATGTGGCATTTCCTTTGATTCACTATGAGCACATGACATTCTGATCAGTATTTGGAGAGAGCACTCAGCTCCTCCAGTTGCTGTGTTAGATTAACTTCTTGTATTGGTGCTTTAAACATCTCTTTAAACGATTAAAGATGTTTCCGAGCAGCTCAGTGACTCAAACGCGTCAGGACACCTAAGAAGTTACATTAAACATCCATTCAATTTAATTACGCTTAAATTTGATTTTAACGTTTACGGTCTTCAACTCTACTTGTTGGCTTTAGAAAAACCTCCTTACGAATGTGTCATTTTATCGGATCGCGAAGCCATGTGTTATAAGTTAAAGTTGACGGCACAACTCGTCGCGCACAAGAACCGGCTCGTCTGCAGGCTTACAGCCGATTGTCTCTGTGAAAAGGTTTCACGTTATGAAACTGGCAGAGTTTACACAGCGGTGGCTTTCTGCTGTGACATTTGACTCGCTTCATTTACTCACTCACCACTTTGTTTAGAAGAAACGACAGCAAAGCTCCCCTCTGCACCTTTGATGAATCACGCTTTTGCTCATCACAAAACGCTGCTAACAACACATCTTAAGACGCTAATTGTTCAGCCCATTTATCGTTTCAAGCGTTCACCTTTCCTCAGTATTTGTTTCTTTGCTTTTGTGCGAAAACATAATCCGCCTATTGTTCCTGATCGCAGTTTTTTTTCCTCCTGTGGGATTTCTCCGTAGAATAGCAGAAGCCAATTTTGGTCTGCTCCTTTTACACTTAAAACAAGTACATCTCCAAAGAC